CTTTCTTTCTTTAAATGTAGATCATTGTATTCTCTGCACAAAAAGACAGTTTGGTCTCTTTCTTTCCAACTCTTATATTTAATTTCTTTTTCTTGTCTTATTGGTTTAGGTAGGACCCCCAAGATACAATTGAATAGAAGTGTTCTTTCTTTCTGAACTTTTTATTGCTTGAATGTAAGGCTTCTAAAATCGATCTTTTCATTTTCTTATCTTTGCTCTGTGATTTTTCATCTTTTTCTAACTGTTCTACTTTTAAAGAAAATCTTTAACAATGTCATTGATTTTTTTTTTAATTTTCATACTTTTATTTTCTAAAAGCTCTATGTATGCTGATTGTTTCTTATAATAGCATACTTGTTTTTCATGGGTGCAGTTTTATTTTTGCTCTGCATAATTGAAAGGTTTGGTGTTTTTAAAAAGTCTTTTGCTCTCTGCCGCATTTTGTTTTATTTTATTTGTCTGTTTTTCATGATACAGATTTTCTACTATGTTTGTTGACCTTTGTCTGTTCATATTTAAGAATGAGGCACTGAAAACCAGTTGGAAGCTTTTTGTTATGGTCAGGCCTCATGAACTGGTGGACTTCACTATAGGGTAGTAAGAGCATGCCAGCTTTTTCACTGGAGGGACTCTTAAATGTCAGTATTTGTAGGTCACTTCTGTGGGACTCTTGAGTTCCTCAGAGAAAAAGCCTACAAGGCTTATAAATCTTTTTTACAATGAGTATTTTATAATGTTCCTTTATTTTCCCAAAATAAAATGTATAGCAATTATAACTTACCTACATACATAATCTCTCAAATCAATGTGATGTCTCACCTACAATATAAAGTGGAAATAAAAGGAAACGTATATTTCAGTGTGTAAATGCTCAGGCCTGACTACACTGGAAGACATAATGAAGTAATTCAACTGCTTTCACTTATCAGTAGGATCACTGAATGTGATAGCTTCAAATATAGACTCTATTATGAATGACACTGTCGTTAGTAATCAGCTTTCCAAAATAGTAGACAAGTGTCTAACAACAAAACAGTGAAACTGCCTCTCCTTTAACATGGCTATTGTGTTCCTGGGAAATGGAGGTTCATGTAATTATGAAAAAGTTTTTCATTACATGATTATCTGATAGAACATTTGAAGTTATACAAGACTCAGGGTAGATTTTCATATTTTGGATTATAGGATGTCCAGTGTCCCTGGCCTAACCTCTCGATGCCAATTGTGTCCTCCTCAATCATTATAATAACCAAAAACATCTCCATAAATTTCTAAATTGTCTCTTGGATACAGTACCACTTGCCTTGAGAACCAGTACTGTAGAAGAAAGAGCATATGCCACAATTGGCAAAACCAAAAAAACCAAAGTCAGTGGAAGAAACCAAAGGTCAGCAGTATTCAGATAAGCACAGGGGTTCATGGTTATCATTTTATACGTAGGACATCATACAGACCCTTTGGATAGTCCTCCCTAAACCTTCTCTCAAGGTAGAGCTAATTAATTAGATCACCAATCTAGTTACTATAGACTTAACTTACATGTGACTTTTCTTTGTTAATACCATTACCAAACAGCAAAACATTGCCAAGGCAACTGGGAGTGGATTTGTGCAGTAGTCTTGACCTAGGCCTTTGCTCTGTTTGGTCAGAGCAACTGCTTTGTTCTTGACTTTGCTCTGTCATGATTATAAGAAGGCAAGCCACTTTGTGGTTCTGCCTGTTTTGTCTGTCAGTCTTTCCTCCCACAGCCTAAGGGCTGATTTCTCCTCAAATTCTGCCTGGCCTTTTCAATTTTTTCCAAATTTACCAACTTACAATGCTTTTCTTTCATCCTGTACAGTAGATTCCTTCTCTTACTTGGCCATTCTCACCCTCAATCAGTACATTCCACCTCATAGGTGTACCAGGAAAGGAAAGGAAAAAGAGGAACCCTACAGTTGATAATCCTAATAGAAGGAGCATCAGGGTGAAATTGTATTAGCCAGGGTAAGTTACATTAGTTGCTACTAAAAACAACCCTAAAATCATATTGGCTTAGTGCAAAAAAAGGAATAATTGTCTTTAGTTAGAATTAGTGTGGATATTGTTGGTCAGGGATATTCCTGGATGACTTTGTTATAAGCGGTAACTTAGGGATGCAGGCTGTTTCATTCGTGTGACCTTCCCATCTGGGAGTTCTTTGCTTCTCTGCGTGCAGATAGAAGAGGGAGAGCAGGGGAGATCTTATGAGACGTTGTAAGGCTAGGCCTGGAATTGGTATCTGATACTTCCATCCACATTCCTCTGACTAAAGCACAATTTAGCTCTATATCCAGAAAACAGAAGACCATTTTTATTGGCACTAGTTAGCATTCTCTACCAGAATGATCACTTTCTCTTGTTTAACAGTGTAAACAACAACAACAACAACAAATATCTATTGAGCACCTGCTGGGTACTAGCCACTCTGTTGACTCCTGTGGTTGAGAAACTTGTAGTCTATTAAAGGAGTTTAACCAAATAAAAAAGCACAATCAGTACTGTGATAAAGGTTTGTGTGTGTTACAAGAGTATAGATGAGCAGACAGCTAATCCAAATGACAGCACTCAGAGGCGGTGAGTGATGTGAATAAACTACTCTTGAAAAATGTTTGTGAATGCTGTGCCTCATAAGACAAGCTTTCAGACACAGTTGCATCCTGTAATAACTTGAACGTCTGGTATTAACCACTTAGAAATCTATTCTCCTTAAATGTAGACTAGGCATAGTAACATCTTCCTTGCTGACCTCACATGGTTTCTATGGACATCAGATGAGATAACGAACATAAATGAGCTTTGAATGCATTACATAAGTGTGGACTAGAGAGGCAGTGTTGTGGAGTGGGGAGGATCTTGTGTTTGGTTAGTAAGGCCTAACTGCTGGCAGTGGCTTTGCCTCTTGCTCATTTTGTTTCGTTAGACTTCTGTGAGTCTCTTTCCTTACCTATAATATCTGTGCTACTTACTCTCTAGGATAGATGTTGTATGTAAACGTAATAATGTCTATAAAAGTTCCTTGGAAACTACATTTCTATTCAAATGTAGTGTTCTTAATAAGCAATACTGTTTAATCATCTGTAGAACTGGTTGTTGAGGTTAGGATTAAAAATCTACCATGTAGATTAATCCTTTTACATGAGGTTTATACAATAACTAATGCTGTTGGAAAATGCACTTTGCTTTGTAGTATATCTCAGTCTGTTTTCTAAGGATTTGCATTATGATGGACTTCTGCTTAGTAGCAGTTCAAGGTGTTGGGATATGACTATAAGATGAAAACACTGCTTTCTGAAGCACCTTTGAAGATTACTAGAAGTTAGATTGAGAATACAGGTTTAGTTTTAAGTACTATCCTTATATTAACGTTTACTTTGTAGATACTAACCAGTGAACACTACAATGAGTGAGCATTCTCATTCCAAGGAAGAAATTTGTATTAATTTTCATAAAGAGAGCGTTTAAACATGTCTCCACGCTGTGTGGTTTCTCTTTTTGGTCCTTTCCTTTACTGTCCCACCACGACCTTCCCCTCTCCACCTTCATTTTTTAATCTTCAGGCAAAGAGCAGATTAGCACAAAAATATGTGTGACTTAATACAGTATAAGAATCACTTTAGTTTTGCTACTGGTATTTAGTTTTAAAGAGTCGAGCTTGATGTTTCTTTGGTTTTAGGAAGGCTGGTTTCGGATAGCTGAAAACATGGGATTTCAATGCCTAAAGATCGAGAGCAAAGACCCCCGGCTCGATGGGATAGATTCACTTTCTGGAACTGAAATCCCCCTGCACTACATCTGCAGGTTGGCCAGCCATGCCATCCACTTGGTGGTCTTTCATGAGAGGAGTGGCAACTACCTCTGGCATGGCCATCTGCGGCTCAAAGGACACATTGACAGGAAATTTGTCCCTTTTCGAAGTTATCATTTGGTCGTTATGCTGGAGCTTTTGACAGGTAAATTCCAGGGTCTCAAGAGGAGATGTGAAACCTATATTGTTCAGTCATGAATTCTCACTCTTTCTTTTACATTTAGATATTAAATCTAAAGTGTAATTCACATAAATCCATTTTGAAATGTAGATATTCAACAGTAGGAAACTCCTGCATGTGTGCCCCAGGAAATATGTATCAGATTGTTCATAGCAACACTGTTCTTAATGCCCCAGACAAAATGCAGTTTATTCACACGTTGAAGAATCATAGGGCAGGGAAACTCTGAACTCGTGCTCTGTGTAACGACAGAGACAAGTCCTACAATGTTGAGGGACACAAATGAGGCATAAACTAATACTAGTCTTATGATTATATTTATAATATAAACACAGGATAAAATATGTTCATGGATTATACTTAAAAGTGTTTAAAAGTTACAAACGTCCAGTAGGTATAAGATAAAAAGTTCTTGGGAGGTAGTGTACAGCATGATGACTACAATTAATACTGCTGTATTGTGTATTTGATAGTTACTGAGAGAGTAGGTCTTAAAAAATAATGTCTAAGGTAGTTGAAGGAAATATGCTTAAAGTTTAGCTATTTGGCTTATGTTGTATGTTTTGAAGAGGCTGCCAGTATTCTGGGTTAAGTCCTGATAATAAATCTTAACTTCTGTTTTCAGGCCAGAGTTACAACAAGTTACTATTGATGGATTAGAAGTTCTCATTCCAAAGGAACCAGTGCACTTTCTAGAAGAAATACCACACTCTCGATTTATTGAGTGTAGGTATAAAGAAGCTCGAGCATTCTTTCAGGTTAGAGATAAGCAAATGTTGTACTTCTTAAATTGAAGTGTGTTTATTTGTAATATTTCTGGGGGGGGCGGAAATGAAGGGACTTATGGAAAACAGGTAAGAAAACATCTTTTCAGATTTGCCTGTTCTGGATTTTTTTACATGGATTAAACATTAACCTTAAGAAACAATTTCTTCCCTAGTTGAATGGTCTGCTATTTATGGAGACGTTGTTTTATTTGAATAGACTTAGGATAGCCCATAAACTTTTTAAAGATGATGCATGCTGTTCTTCAAGCAGTCCAACTAGGATGAAGCCACGTAGAAGATGGATCGTGTGAATTTAGAAAAGATTTCATGCAAAATACAGTTTTTCTCAGAAGATTGGCACTGAATATGAATTTTTGTGTGTTTATGAAGGTTTTTTGAAGATAAATGCTACATAAAAACCAGGTGCTTCTGAACTTTACTTTATTCTGCTGCTCTCGCTTCCATTTCAATAAGCATTTATTCAAAGCCAGCTTCCCAGGAACTCTCCTGACCCTGGGGATATAAAGATGAATTTAAAGGACATGAAAGTTCAGCTCTGAGAAGTAACGAAACAGAGAGACAGTGAAAACAGTCAGACTTACAGTGGGGTTTTGGTGCCCTTAATCCTTCTACTTGCCCTTTATTTTCTGAGATTCCCTTCCAGGAAAGCTGTGAACACAAAACGACAGGAGTGAAATGGGAAGATGAAGTACCAGCTACATCATCACTGGCCGAATGCCAAAGCCATAAATGCAAGGTTTTGTCTAGTAGGCTGTGTTGGCACCCAGGACCTAGACCTGATAGGCCAGGTGGGCCTTCCTACTCCTGTTCCCTTAAATCCATAGTTGCACGACTGGGGAACATACCAGTCAGCCGCATGGATGAAATGCTGGAAAACTGTGTGTATGGCTGGGCCAACTCTAGTTGGCAAGGGCTGCCCATGATATCCCCATCACAGAGTAACAGGAAGCGGAGATGCATTCTGGTGCTGGAACTTGAGCATGCACTGTTCCTGCCTTCAGGGGTTTTGTTCTGGTTGCCACCTCTGTCATAGCAGTTATCGCAGTTAATTGTGAATGTCTCTCTTGTCCCTCTATGAGATTATGTGAACTTACTGGCATTTTATTCACCTCTGTAGCAAGTACCTGGCACAAAGGAAAGATCCTGTAACAATGGGGACGTGCATGGAGAATAAGGTGCTCATCTGAGTCAAGTGATTTTTTTCAGGACACTTACCAGGGCTACTCCATTACCTCACAAGCAATTTCCCAGGCTTATTTTGTTGATCTTTGTGAGGAGGCAGTGTAAAATGTAAAATGTTCCAGAATATTGAGAAATCATGAGGGTAATTTTTAATCGTATTTTCAAATTCCATATTTTCACATTTGCTTTTGAAGATTTAAGGGCAAGCATTCAGTCAGCATCTGAGTAAAGAATATGGATGACAGATGCTTGGGGGGCTTATCAGCTCATCATAGCCTCATTCTTTCCGTGTTTGACGTATCATCACATGGTGAGGCTGTAATGCTATCTGGAGGTTTATATTCATGACAAGGTCACGTGGAACTTTGTATTCGATCTTCATCGCGTTGTCTCTCTCTACTCGCAGCAAGATAGGCTCGTGATCACTAATTTGTTTTTCTCCTCTGATAATGTATTATTATCACTAATGTAAAGTGTCTAATGGGATTGATAACTTTTTTTATCCTCATCCTCGTAAATGTTTCATTCTTCATCCTTTCTTATGTTAGAATCACGACTGAAAAATACCGGGAGGGTCCGTTTTCAAATTAAAGCGAACATACATAACTTTGAACACTTGATGGCGCCAAACAGTCTGAAATACAATTCCTGGTGTAAAACAAGCAATGAATTACTCTAATAGATCTCGTAAAGCAGCCTCCTAACTTCCTTTTTTAAATAATAATTTTTTGGAAGCATTTTTAAACTTTCAGAATAATTACCAAATACTATACAAATAATTTTTTCCCTGAACCATTTGGAAGTAAGTTGTCGACCATATGCCACAAAACCTCAAATAATTTAGCATTTCTTAAAAACAAGAACATTCTCCTACGTGTCTTGATACAAAAATCAGGAATTTAACACATCGATCATTACCATTTAATATTCATTCAAGTTTTGCTTGATTACTTCAATAATGACCTTTATTATAAAAGGTTTCAGTTCAGAATCACATGATGTATTTAATTTTTCTGTCTCTTTAGTCTCCTTCACTCTGGAACATTTTTACAATCCTTTTTTAACTTTTATGACTTCGATATTTTTGAAGATTACAGATATGATATTTTTAAAATTGTCCCTCGTTTGGGGTTTGTCTGGTTTTTACTCATGTTAGGTTCATCTTTAGTAGAAATAACACAGAAGTGATCGGGGCTCTTCTCATGACATCCTGTCAGGTGCTACATCATTTCGGTTTGTCCCATTACTGTTGGCATTCCCTTTGATTGCTTAGTTAAAAGTGCTATCTGCTGGCTTCACCCTGGTGACATTTCTGGTTTTCCCTTTGTAATGAGTAGGTACTTGGCATGAAGGTATTTAAAACTATCATCATCAAACTCTCTGTTAATTTATTTGTTTACATCAGTATGAACTCATGATTTCCTGTTTCCTTCAGTGACTTATAGGCCACTATTTTCGTTATTTTGACCCTCAAATTGTTCTTCCATATTTGGCCTGTGGGAACCCCTTCATGTAGCTTCTGTGTCCTTTTTGATATGTCTCCATCATTTCTGGGCACTTTCTTGCTTTTGGGCACAAGACATCTTAGGTTAATCTTGTAATTTCTCTCCTACAACCCTGGAATCAGCCATTTCTCTGACTCCTGGTTCCTTTAAGAAGCTGAGCCTGGATGTCAGGTGTGCTCATTGCTATTTGGGTTTTGCTGCCCACAGACCCTCTCAGTGACAGGAGTAGTATATGTATGTATTTATTTCTATATCTGTCTATCAAGATCTAAGAATTCACACTGATATCTTCAGTCTAATTAACTTACATTTCAGTTAAACAGCATAGGGTTCAGTTCCATATTTCTGACTCCCTTCTCAAACAATAAGAAACCCGACTCCTATTATCCTTTATATATTTACTTATTTGTTCAATCTTTCATCATTTCTGCTGCTGCATTTGGATGCTATTCTCATCCTGCTTGGATATTCCTGTCCCCAACCAGGCTGCCCCCATATATAGACACATTGCTCACCCTGCTCAGGCTCTGGCCACATAGGTTTGGGAAAGGTTGCCTGAACGGGAAAGTGCAAATGGGCTTGATATTTAAACTAGGATTTAGTCTTTTTCTGGAGGTATGGTAATCCCAATATATGTGTGTGTGTGTATATAATTTTTAAATGAAAAAAGCATGTATAACTGTAATTTTAAAGTCCATAACAAATGTATAAGGTGTACAGATGTATATATACATATGTATGTATGTATGTATGTATATTTACACACACATGTACTTTAACACATATGAGGGTTAATCCTAAGAAATGGAATTTCTGGGAGTGTTGTGTTAGGAAAGGTATGTCAGAGGCAAGGATATGTCCCTGCAGGGGCAGCCTCAATTGGACATAACTATCAGAGTAATGTTTTTGTGGAGCATAAAGTTTTCATTTATTTATTGTTTACTTTGATCCTTTGAGTCACTCTGAAATAAGGCAAGGATTCACCTTCAACAGATAAGAAAACTGTGGTTTCAAAATGTTAGTTACACAGTCATTACTGATTGATCATGGCCTAGATCTAGGGTCTCCAAACTCCTGGCTTCAGGCTTTTCCCCTACAGCAGGAATAAAACATGCATCTCCCATTCTATTCATACGTTCTAGGAGAAGTTATGGCTCTGAGGGTATTTTCATACTGAAGAGATCCATACACCTTTTATATTCTGGAGAATGTTATTTATCTTCAGGAATTCCTCTTTCTTCCTAGGGATACTTTTTGCTTGAGATATATGGTCCTTTGAGGAGCTATATTTCCTCCTGCTGTTTTATAAAAGAATGCCAGGATGTTTTAGGCTATTGTGGGCATGGGAGGGGCTTCGTCAGTCATTTATTCATTTACCCGTTTATCAATATGTGTTGCTCACTTATCCTATACCAGACACCGTTCTAAATTTGTACATGCGGTAATGGGGAGATTCAGTACCTGCCCTCAAGGAGCCATCTCTACAGCCTAGTACAGGAAGTATTAATAGAATCAACAATTAGGATTAACTATGATAAGAATTATAGTTAAAGTACATATAGGAGTAACTGTTACAAGCTCATTGAACAGATTGTTTCATTTGTCTTTGCCTGTGTCTAGTACCAAACATAATTTTTTTGCTCTGTAAATGTTGAACTGAAGAGGAGCACTGGGAGAATAAACACGTATGTGTTCATGGGAAAATCAGGGAATGTTTTTCAGAGGGTAGAACTGAGATCTGAAAGATTTTGTTAGTCAAGGGCATTTCAGATAAAGGAAACATGTAGAAACTCACAGAGGCTTGAAAAGTTGTGGTATATTTGGGAAGTAATAAGTCATTGATGTAATATGGGATATGAGGAGGGCGAAGGTAAGGCTGGACCAGTCATCTGTACCTGAACACAAGTGTCCTTGTCTGCAGTGCCAGGAAGTTTAGATTTTGTCCCATAGATAGTGAAGCATCAGTGAAGAATTTATAGTGCTTTCTTGGTTCTAGAACACCCTAAAAATGAAGAAAACCAAGGCAAAAAGACTATAAGTAAATGACAGTAATATTTGTATAGAATCTCATAATTTGTGAGGTATTTTTCTGTCATCCATTATCTCATTAAATCTTCACAGCATTCCTACAAGGTGTAATTGTGATTCTTTAATTTTTATCCTTTAATTACTGATGAGAAAGTTATATCTGAGAGAGGTTTGTTCTTTCATGCTCTCATTTATTTAAGCACTGTTTTAGACATTGGAGATACGGTGAAGTCATGTTCCTCATAGAGCTTATATTCTTCTGAGGTGATATGCCCAGGGTCACAGCGAAAATGAAATGGAGTTAAGACTTGAACACAATCTGATGCAAAATTCCAGGTTCTTTCTACTACACTATTCAGTCGCACCAGTGGATGATGAAAACGTCGTTGAATGCGTTGAATGCTTGTAGCTCTCTTAATTAGCCTTTTTTCCCCCTAATTGCCCAATCTGCTAAATTGTGATGTGGAGGAGGGAGTTGGTAAAGGTGTAAATCTCATCCCTTGGGAATCCTGGTTGTATTTCTTCTTTAACTTGTCTCTCCTAGAATCTACTCTTATAGTCTTATTTTAATGTGTGACTAACAAGGAATTCTGAAACTTTATTTTCTTAATAGAAAAATATATAATAAGGGATTGATTTTCAAGTTTAACTTGTATGTCACAAAAATATTTGTAGCCATTTAGAAATAACTATAATAGCTGACTGTTATATCTGTAGCAGTACCTTGATGATAACACTGTGGAAGCTATGACCTTTCGGAAGAGTGCAAAGGAGTTGTTGCAACTAGCAGCCAAAACGTTGAAGAAATTGGGAGTGCGGTTCTGGCTGAGCAGCGGAACTTGTCTAGGTAAAATTCTGGTTGCTTTACGTTTGTCTTTTTGACATTTCATCCGTGTTGGCTTTAGGCGTGACTGCTTGAGATAACAAGATATCAGTGGTATTCGAAGTGTCATATTTATGGACAGAATAAACATAGGACGTGGAGCAAGGATTTATTGATTAAGTAACTTCAGAAACAAAACAGAGAATTGTGTTTCCCCAAATTATAAGTAATATGTATGAAATTTATATCAGAACATGTAGACTGCATGTGATTCTCAGGTTATCCTTAGATTAGCATTTTATTATTTCTATCCCAAAGAAATAATAACGCCTTAAAAAACAAAAACAAAACTGTATTCTGTTTCTTCACTTACACACAATACAAACAACTTGCATTGCACTGGAAGTTTCTAACGAGAGGAAGAATGGAGTGTCATAAGGTCTTCCACGAATCTCATCCAGATCATGAAAGTGTCACTGATTGAACATCAGTGTCTCACCACATTCTATTCATCCTGAAATGGTGAAAGGTAGATTTTTCTAGAGTCTTTAGGCAAGCTGAAAAATCTGAGAAATTTTTGGATCTCTTTCCACTGTGCATTAGGTCACACTTCTTTGGAATTTAGAATTATTTAGAATCTTAATTTTTTTTGTTCCCTCTTGTTTATAACTGTAGTTGATTATAACTGTATTCATACAAAAGCTAATTCTGCTCCTGTTTTTACAGGATTATTAATTTATTGTGCAGTTCAGGAGACTATTTGAGAGTAAAAGGAGTGCCATTAGTAATTATTGGGTACAACAAGTGTAAACTGGGATGCATGGTCATCCTGTCTGTTAGGCTTTGTGGAAATTTACAGGGTTCTTCCTGTCAAGGAGCCTACAGCTAGAGTAAGCAAGAAAAAAAAAGAAAAAGAAAGTACATGTCATTTATATGATATATGCTTTTAAGGTTTAACTTTTTGAAGCAAGTTTTAGAGACCATATCCTCAAAAATAGTTCTTAATCATTTGTCATGGTTTGTTTTGAGTTCTTAGCCCTGTGGTTTTCTTAATTTAAGGGCGTTTATAAAATGATGGAGTTGGATTAGATGCTATTTAAGGAGCCTTCCATTTCTAATAGTTCATGATTCTTTGATAGATGCAGATTGTAGATTTTTCTTAAAATAAAGGTGAGATCCCATGCTAGGCTTCTAAATATCTATGTTAAAATGAAGTTAAAGTTTAGAATTCCAAGCAGTATTTCCCAGAGATAATTGTAGACATTTATTTATTTTTTGAATACTTTGGATGGAAGGATTAGAAGGATAATACGGGAACCCAGAGCCCTTAGTAATATTAAGGTATAAATTTTGTCTTTTTAGAATGGTACCATAGCACCTAATTTAGTAGTAGATACATAGTGAATTCCTAGAAGTAGCTTTTGACAGGGTGGTGAAAACTGAGGCTGATACTGCTCTTCTTTTTTATTTGACCCATCAGACACAAGCTGTTCAGAGCTGTTAGGTTCTACAAATTACTGCTCAGGAAAGGGATATTGGTTAAGCAAAAGAATTAAATTATATTTTTTAGCATGTCTTAAAGGCAGCCTTCATCATGAGAGAGTCATGATTAAACATTTTAAAAATTAACAATGTTTTAAACGGATGGCCCAGTTAATATTATCATCGTTAATTGTTTATTCAGAAATTAAAATACATCATGGAAGTTTTTAAGGCTGCTGAGTGCTCAGACCAGTGAAAATGAAGGATGGAATGAAAGAAAGATCCTTTAACAAGTAGCTCCTGTAATCACAGAGTTTGTTTAAGGATTTACTTTTTAAAAATTTTAGTAAAGCACAGTAAGTCTCATCCCTGTGATATAAAATACACTGTTACAAAGACTATCCATTATAATATAATGACTAATTTTTGCAAACTTAAGGTTTTTTTTTTAAGTTTTCTTATTCTTTTTTTTTTTTTAGGATGGTATCGGCAGTGCAACATTATTCCTTATAGTAAAGATGTTGACCTAGGAATTTTTATTCAGGATTACAAATCTGATATTATTTCAGCATTTCAAGATGCAGGACTTCCACTCAAACACAAATTTGGGAAGGTCAGTAGCAAAAATCTGCTTTACTTCCATTAGTAACATGTCTCAAAAGTAAAGTTTATATTAAACAACTCAGGGATGTTTAAGAACATTGCATACAGCACTTTCTCGCTCAGTATTGGCCAGGATGAGTTCAGCAGAAACTTATCACCACTTGAGACTTCTGCACTATTTAAGGAAAACTAGAAAACCTAGCTTTGTATTGACCATGAGAAAGTGAAAAGGATCTTGGACTCTTGCAGATGAATTTATTGCCATTATGTTAGGCAACAATACAACAAAATAATTAATTAACATAGCATATAGTATATAATTATATAATCAGTAAGAATCCCACCTACCCTACCTGAAGTTGTGTTGTTTCTCATGAGTCATTTAATTTTATGTTCCCTTAGGCATCATATTATTATGAACACGAAACAATACATTGATTGCTAAGGATTAGAAATATAGAACCATTTCAAATAGAACTTGGATTTCTTGTTTGTTTTACGTGCCCTGGGTCATAGCAGTTTTCTCAGAGGTCATCTAGGAATAGGTCATCATGGCATAGATGAAATTTCCTTTTGACAATTTAATTCCTATGCCCTAAGCCTATGACTCCTAGCAATCACCTTACTCTTAATTTCCCTGTTCCTAGGGAGTGGAAGTATGTTTTGTCCCTGGCGAATTACTTCCCTCATCATAGTCATTCTAGTGTAGTTAAAAATTTGATAAAATACCTTCCTGAGATCAAAA